TCACAATATTTATTTGGTAGTAGTTTAACAGATGAATTAGCTGTTTTTGATTTTACATCAGCTGCTGTTAATCAACAATAAAATGATTTAAATAAAAGTTTATCAAATTCTTTATCAGATAATTCATCAACAAATATAGTTCATCAAAAAAAAAATTGATAATAATGATAGACCAGCATTAATCGAAGGTTCAGATGATGTAATTGGTTCGGAATTTATTGATATGGAAATGAATGAACTTAATTTACATCTATGTATGGTACCAATGGTTTGTTTATTAAAACATATGGAAACAAATGGAATAATTCCAATAAATGATTGTGTATCTGAAATGCCACCATGGATGATATGTATGTATAAAAAATTTAGTGATCCACTTATAACATTTAATATAAAATTATTTCTTATGCGTCTTATTATTCATACACATACAATATTTAAACCATATGCACGTTATTGGTTAACATCAATAATTCATATGTATAATCAAATGTTTGACAATTCATCTGAAGCTTTAAATACATTTATAATTGATACAATTCTTATATTATTATCATGGTATAAACAAGCTATACCAAGTGAACTTGATTCTATAGCTGTACAACGTCTTATTGAATATTTATTTTCAAATTGTTCACATCGTAATGTTATTGTTATGAAATCAAATTTAGATTTAATTAAAAAATTAATTGAATGTTGGAAAGAACGTATACATTCACCAACAGTTATTCTATATAAATCAATATCTGAACCAGATTTAAAATCAAAACAAAATGCAATTGGTCTTTCATTAATTGGAATATTATTAGCTAATGATATATTACCATATTATGTACCACCAACACCAACAGGAAATCTTCCACCTGTAACAACTGGTTCTATATTAACAACTATACCAACTGATTTAACTGAAGATAAATTTAATGATACAATATTAAAAAATATGAAAAATACTTATAGAAATATATATGCTGCAGCAGCTGAAGTTATTGGAATGTTATTAAATGTTAAAAAACTTAAAAATGAAACAAATCAACGTTTATTAGAACAATTAAGTTTAATATTAAAATGGCATAATAGTCAAGGTTTATCAGATACATATGTAACATGTATTTATTCAGTACAAAAACATTATCCATTAATTGTTGATAAAACGTAAGAAAATTTTTTTATTAATGAATATTTTGAAAAGTTTTGGTTTCCTTTTTTTTTGTTGTTTTAGTGTTATGAATAAATTAGTATTTGGTTTAAAAAAAATGTATGGAGATATTAAAGTTGAATGTTTAGAATCATTAATTGCTAATATAACTGAATTTGATTTGGCATATTTAGAATTACGTGCAGCAGGAATATTAGATATTCTTATTCACAAGTAAATAGATGTTTTTTTTTAATGCTGAAATATAGCAATTAAATTCAATGTATTTTTGTTGCAAATCAACTTTGAATCTTTCTTATTGTCTATTTGATAATTCAAGACCAGGTTGTTCATTAAGTGTGTTTTCATTTAAAAATTCTACAGGTTCACACAATATTTTTGAAAACGAAATAGTGCATCTTGTAGAGGAATCTTCAGGCTATAAAATCTGTACACAAAGCTTTTCTTGAACATGAATAGGCTTTTCAAAAAAAATTTTGAGTTTATTCATTATAAGACACGTGAGTAATCCAAACATCTCTTATAATTGAATGAAAAGTTCAAAAATTCAATTCTAAATATTAGAAATTCTTTTTTGATAATCTAGAGGTATTAGAAAAACAAAAGATTTCGTTCCGAAAAATGAGATGACCTCTGGAAGACTAATTTTCAGAAAGGTAATCTTCTATCTATTTATTGCTTAATCAAATAATCATGTTTTGATTAATTAATTAATTCACTAGATAAATTTAATTATGTGTGAGTTACAAAAGCTAACGTTGTTTGGATCTTGTTGATTTTATCAATATAATGTATGAATGAATAGTTCTTCTCGAATTATCGATTTAATTAAATCCAAGATTGTTTTCGATAATACAGAAAAGATTTTGAAGAAAACACAAACTATTTCAGAAACATAGTGTAGATTGTCTTATCTTATATACATATATATATGTTATAAGTAGAGTTGCAAATGATTCTACTAAATAATGAATAAGATTTTCAATAGCATAAATCCGAAAAACGCTTATTTCTTCTGAATTCACCCTGCTCATTATAATCTATAAATCTCTTCAAGCTACTTGTTACCAATCGTATATTGTTTCGTTTTAAACATACGAATATTATAATGATAAATATGAATCAAAGAAAAATAAAAATTTATCTAAGATCATCATAACAAGATGATGAAAACACATTATTTCGTGTTAGTAAAAAAAAAATATTTCTATAACTATATCAAAATTTCACATCTATAAAAAGTTAATGAATACTTTCAATTAATATTCTAGAGATTTTGGTATTCGTGGTGTTGCTTTACGTTTATTATTTAAACTATTACCAAAATTAACACATGAACAATTATATGAAATAGCACAAATATTATATGTTGATGGTCCAAATGAATGTCAAATTTGGACACTTGAAATATATAAATGGATGTATGATTATATAACAAATTATTTAACAAAAGAAATGAAAACATCTATAACACCATTATCTGAAATATTTTATCATCATGTACGTGAACAATTACTTCAATTATTATCGAGTAAAAATGAATATATACGTGTTAATTGTCGAAATTTTTGGTGTGATTCAAAACGTTTAAGTACATCATCACATCATCGTCTTATGGCATTAGTTGATCAATTATATTCAATAAAAACTGAAAATGAATATTTAAATTATTGTACAAATTTTCTTCTTGAACGTACAACACATAATCCTGATTATAATCATTTTATATTTGAAAATCCACTTGATAAATGTTTATTTCAAGAATTTCCATTAGCATGTAATTGGCGTCAACGTCATCATACATATATGACACCTTTATTTACATTACAATCACAATCTATGAT